TTTAAGGTATTCTATCAGTCAGTTGTCAGTAAATCTAATTATTATTAACAGGTTTAATCATTAAAAAGTGAACACCACTGAAAGGTAAAAAAATTGATGTGACATGATATCACCCACAATAAACATTCACGGTACAATATTATGCACAAAGATAAATAAAATAATTCAATTTAATACCATCAGAAGAAAATGGAAAGTAAAATAATCATGCTTCACTTACCCAGTAACTCTCTGCGCAAAGTTTTGAACTAAAATTACTTTTCTGGTTACGATAAAATAATGCGAACTAAACTTTTTAAACCACCACAAATGATCTATGGATCCCCATTTGAGAAACAGTGTACTACACAAAACTAGTAGAAATGAGATTTACTTTTTAAGATCCCATTTAATGTTTCAATAAATCAGCCAATAATTTGATGATTAACCTTTTTCTTCCATTATGTTGCTCACGTCCAACTCCTGCACCTCACGTCTCGTTTCTATCTTTTTGCGCAGACGTTTGCATTTTTGTATAGTTGGGTTTCCTGAAGAAAAGAAAGTAATTTGTATTTCTGTAAAATTATAATTAATTCAAATCACATTTCCCCATTGCCCCATATAATGCTTTCTTCTCCCCTGGTGTGCCAGACTGGCCTGACCAATCAGAAAATACATTATCACAACCCTGGTCCTCAGTACACGCTTCACCTTTAACCCTACATGTGGCAAAGCTCAAAGGAAAGAAGCCAACTTAAGTTAGAAATCTGTTTTATGTAACTAATTTTTCATCGAAGTTTGCTGTAGCACTGTGTAGTCTACAGAAATTTACCTCTGAAACATCAGTAAAATTCTACCACACTACATGGCGCTACACACCAGAAGACAGCCATCTTCATGTCTGCCACTGCGAAAACCTCAAACACCACTTACAAATTTGGTATTGTATGCAAGGATAATTTGTATCTGACTTCTTGTGAGTATTTTTGTAAAATGTGATTAGGAAGGATATTATTCAATTATTCAGGATAGAAGAAAACCATGTAAAACATCAGTAAGGATAGCTAATTTCACAGCTGAAATTTTAAGTATATAATTTCCAAATATATGTTAAGACATCAACATTGAGATAACCTTCTTGGCTATATCAATAATATACACACCTTTTAGTCCTTCCTTTCGTAATAAATTAAGAAGAGCTTCAATCTTTGCTTTGTTACTGCGACAATTTTGCAAAACTTTAGAATAATGTACAATGTGTATTCCGGCGAGACGTAGGTAACGCTTCAATGCGGTGATCCGTTTATTTTCTGGAACCTACAAATACAAGTTACATTTATTTATAATTAATTCTGCATTATATTATATATATATATATAAATAAATAAATGATAAAAGGATTTAGAAGTTCCATAATAATGTTGCAACAACCATATTAATTAATTAATTTTTCAGATTTTCTGCCCACATGTTCCACATCCATTAAGAAATTTGAATTCTCATAAAGGATGGCCAACATATTTTACTGGTGGATATGGTTTAATGTCATTCAAATCTGTTTGGTGAAAATTTGGTAATTAGCACCCTAAATTATGAAACACGACTACTGCACGTTTCAACTTACATCTTTCTTCTCTTTCTTTTTATCCTTAGATCTCTCATCATCAGAGACTGGACTGTCAGAACTGGAATTGGATGATTTGCTTTCTTTCTTTTCCTTAGATGTCTTTTTAATTACTTCTCTTTTCTTTGTTTTGGGCCCTGCACTGCAATCTTCAGACTCAGAGGAGCTCATGGAGTGTAGAGATTTCTTGGTTTCATTTGTCTCCTTTGACTTGTCTTCACTATATACAGAAGAATCAGAGTTGGTATGAGCATCTTCTCTAGAGTTTCTTGAAGATTTTTTATTCTGCATGTCAGAATCAGAATTGTTTCTTGAAGTTCTCTTGCCTTTTTCTCTCTTCTGAGATTGCTTAATTTGTGTTTTCTCTTTCTCTGATGTCTTCAATGATTCACCATCATCAGAATCAGAGCTGCAAGTTGTTTCTTGTTTCTGACACTTTTGCTTTGATGTACTTAATTCAGAATTCTTTAAATTACTTTCAGATTCCTGTGCTGACGTTTCCTCTTCAGAATCCTTTCTGCTTCTTACCTTTTTCACAGGTTTATTTGGCCCTTTCCTGCCACCTCTATTTGTACCATTTGCACTATCTCTTTGCCTAACAGCCTTACTTGATACAGTCTTCAATAAATTCTCTTCTTCTGAGTCTGATTCTGAATCAGATTCCTTTTCTCTTCTAGCTTGCACTTTTGACTTTTCTTTTTTCTGCTTTCTTTTGCCGCCTTCTCTGCCTGAAGTACGCAAACTGCCTTGTTGTTTAATTCTTGTCTTCAATGGTTTCTCTTCTTCAGAGTCTGACTTGGAATCAGAATCTTCTCTGTTTTTATCTTCAACCTTTGACTTTCCTTTGTGTTCTAGGTCAGAATCACATGAACTGGTTCCTTGTTCAGTAGTTATTTTTGACACAGTCTTCAATGGCTTTTCATCTTCTGAGTCTGATTCTGAATCAGATTCCTTTTCTCTTCTAGAATCTAAATTTGTTTTCAATATTTGTTGTTTTATTATGTTCCCTATTTTGCTAGAATCAACTGAAATGTCTCCTTCTTTAGCAGGTTTCTTCAACACAGCTTTCAGTGGCTTCTCGTCTGAGTCTGGGTCAGAAGAAATTTCTCTTTCACCTTTCACTTCCCTCATTGCATTTTCTTGCTTTTCTTTGTTGTCTTCTCTGCCTGAATCACTGGAACTGTCTCTTTGACGTTTAGCAGTTTTTTTAGATACAATCTTCAATGGCTTCTCCTCATCAGAGACTGAATCACAATTCTCTCCTTTTCTGTTCTCTGCTGATGTTACAACTTCCTGTTGCTTCTTTTTGATCTCACTTTTTGAATTATTTAAACTTATGTCAAGCAAAGGAGCTTCAGTGGTGGTCTGCAGTTCCTTCTTTTCTGAATCAGAATTTGAACTTTGTTCATGAGATGTTTCCTTCTTTGGTGGCTCCATCTTTTTGTTCCTTTCTTCTTCTGAACTGCCTGTTGAATTTTTTGCATTGTTTTTTTCTTTAATTAATTCATACTCATTGAAAGACAGTTTGGAATCTTCATTAGATTCTATTGCATTTTCTGAAATATTAGATGAATTTTCATCTTCTGTCTCTGATTTAGAAACCTGACATTTGGGTTTGGACTTTTTGTATGATTTTATACTACTTTTCCCCTGAATTTGCATACTCTGTTTTGATGGCGAAGTTTCTACAGAATTTTCATCTAAGACAAGAATTTTCTTTGTCTGTTGTTTGCAATCTGAATCACTTGAACTAATGTCATCCTGTAGCTTCTCCCTTTTTGGCATATATTTTGCTCCTGATGGTTTTATAACATTTCCCTGTTCATCACCACCATTACTATCAATAGTACAGTCCTCAAAGTGACTGTGTTCCACTTCTTTTTCTGAAACTATATTCTTTTTGTGACCATTACTACGAGCACCATCAAGTTCATTTTCAGGTACTGAGCTTCCAAATTTGTCTTCACTCTTTCTGTGATCTTCCTTCTCATCTTGAAGCTTCTGTCTTTTCTTTACAAGTCTAACATCATTATCGTCTTCAGAATCAGAGCTCGTTTGTCGTAGTTTGACAGCCGCTTCTGCTATTTTTCTCTTGTGCCTCTCTAACACTAAGAAATTATTTTCATTATCACGTTCACTGTCACTTTCTTGTCCTCTCTGCTCCTCATGTACAAGTGGAGCAGAAGGAGGATCTCTGCTCTTGCTCATCATATTAAAGTTTTCTGCTTCTTACCACAAGCTACATGTACAGTGATCCTGTTACAGATGTATCTGGAATATAATACATATTTTAAGATATCTTCATAATAAAAAGTATTTCTGTTAGCTCTGTTATTCCGGATGTTTTCAGTTTATAAACCTATGCTTTTGTGTGTGTGTTGGATGTACGTTCCAACAGTCTTAGCCATCTAAATCCATAGCTCATCTAAATAAAACCTAAAAATTTAGTCCCTACCTCAAATAAAACATAACACGTCTCCATTACAAAGATAAATTGGTTAATGTAGTTTAGAGAAGTAATCACTGTCCTGAGAATCATATTAAACCCCTAAATTCATGCTGTGCAAAATGCAGAGCTACTGGTTCTTAAAGCTTGGTATATACAGTTACCACTGGGCTTTGAAGGTTTATGAAGTTCCATATATTTGGTAAATATGATCCTACTTCATATTCAAGAGGTTATGAGTTCAGATCTCAGCCTGGAGATTGGCTATATCGACTGAGGTTCCTCTGTCTCTCAAGGCAAATGCTGGGATAGTACCTTGAATTACACCACAAGTGCAGCCTTCCATATCTATTCTGATTCATCATGCATTAATTATCTCAACAATTGACACTGTATAATCTGCTCTACTGACAGTGTCATTACATAAACCAGAAAGTAAATAAAGGTATTTTTATTGTAGTGAAATGTTATCCATTTATAAATACATTGTATGTGCTAAGGAATTATTAATAGTGTAACTATGTATGCAACTAGGTCGAATGTAGTGAACGTTGTTCTTTCTATGAACCTTTTTCTGTGGCCTCCATAACATATTTTTCTAATACTGTGTCACTCAGTATGTTGAAAATTAGTTACCTGTTAGAAAAATGCTTTGTCAATGTCATCAGTATTTGGCAATACCTTTCATTTACTGTGAGCAACTGTTCCAACATAATGGAGAATGACAAATCAATAACTAGTATGCATCTTATGCACTTGGAAGGATATATACGAACCACATAAAATATTATCCAAGCAAAAGCAGTGTCAAATATCACACAAATGACAATTTATGGAAGAAAACTGAGTTATATGTAACCACCCATTTACAACAATAGGTTAGGCCTATTATTAATAAATTGCAATGGTGTTTCACTAAATTCACATCTTTTAAACCTTGGGGCCCACAAGTCGGTAAGCTGTGGTCACTGTTTCTAACCCTGGTTAAGGTTGAGGACCCCTGATCTACATAATGCATCTATATCTAAGGCAGCAGTCAGAATGTATAGAAACTTATGCAATACAGGCAGATGTAAGGCACAGCAACAATTACTATGGCATCAACAAATACTATCAAAACCTTTCGGTAAGACTTTCTCAATCTTTACAGAAGTTTACTGTTTCTTTGGCATGTGAAATACACGAAAACAGACATTTAAAAGCTGAAGGGTATTTAACTTTTGTAAGAAAATTAAAAGAAATCAGTGTAGATATAGAAATTATAGCTAAGCATGCTGAATCACTGATTTAAAACCACTCCAGACAGTTTAATAAACAATTAACTCTTTTAAATCAGTTTAACAAATGAATGTTTCACTAGCTGGTGTCATGTACAGGCCTCATACACATAATGCAACATTCTTATCTTGTGACCAAAAACTCTAACCTAACAAACTAATGAAATTTTGCTACAACCGAATTTATTGCGATCACTGTTAAATACTGAATCATTGAACAGTGTCATACTTTCCTTAACTTACTTTGAAACACAGAAAAAATACCACTTCCAAACAAACCGCCTTATGGTTACTTACCATAAAACCATACAGAAATTCAAAGTAACAACGTCATAAAGACATGTCACCGCAATTTCATTATTTAAGTAGCACATTTGAAGAAGACGGTTGTTTACGACTAACGGTATAGGTGGTACATACTTTTGTTACAGAATATCTGTTGACATGATTTATTACATGCTTTAAATTATGTTCCACTTCCTTCAACAGAGTACACACATCAGCTGATATACCACAGAATTAGCGGGAAAACTTGGGTGTGGGAAGATATATTTTTGTTAACTTGAAGAACGGATTTGATTACAACTGGATGTAATGCTTATACTTATTCTCTTGCTAAATCAATGGGTTATAAACAAAAAAGTTCATTCATTACAATGAACTACTGATAACTCAATAATTATACCCCTGGAGTTCTAAACATGGCGTCATAGCGTACGTAAAACGCATCTACTTTTACTATCTCAATGGATATCTCTGGGTTGCGTGTGTGCAGTGTGCTTACTCGCATGACCAGTTGCATGTGCGTTAAATTCTCTATCACACATCAGAGTTTGTCGGTGTTGTAAGAATCGTGTGCAGAGTGCCATATTTGAAACTGTCGTTTAACTTATATGCCATGGAGGTATATCAAATGTATTACCACTTGTTAGATATCAAAGGTGTTTATCAGCGTTTTAGAGGTCCTTGCTGCGTCCATCACCAGGGCGATTGGTGATAAACTGTCAGGATATGTTAATTTCTGTACTGGGAAAATATGCCTCAAAAGCAAATATAACAATCTCCAAGCTTGTGTCACGTTCAAACTCAACATTCTCCAGCTCCTATATGGAATGTTTTCAGATAAGGTGTTGCTTTCCAATTTTGTTTTAGAATATGCCATTAAGAAATCCAGGAAAGATTGGATATATTGACATATTGGCATCTATCTAACACTGATTATTTATTCACCTACAACCATAATTCTTATAGACACTTGTAAGGAGGTTTGTCTAGAAGTAAATGTTCATGTCTTGTTAGAAGAACAAGGTAGCTAAAAATCCTGTGAAAACATGGCAGAAGTCAAGTGTTTTGAGAATGGCATTTGGGAGTAACAAATCAGATTTTTTAATGAAGAACTTAAAAGAAAATTTAAACTAGGGAATGCTTGCTGCCGCTCAGCTGAGAATATTTTGCCTTCTCATCTGCTGTTTAAAAATATAAAGATTAAAAAATAGAGAACTGTAATTTTGCCCATTGGTTTTATGGGTGTACAGATTGATCTCTCAAATACTGTAATGTATTTGTAGATTTTGCCAAAGTTTTAGATAATAATGTCATAGAAATCATATAAAAATGAGCAGAAATGGAAAAGTTTAGCACAGATAAAAAGAATGTTTCATATCATCAAACATAAATATGATGTCAAACAACAAGACTTCAAGTCTAACTCAAAGAGGAGCAAAGTCTGAATAGATCTGTAAACAAAGTTCTGGTGAGAATATCCGGTTTTAAAGCAAGATGCACCAACTACATAATAAGTGTTATAATAACCTAGGTCACTTTGAATGCCTTTCTTTTTCCCCAGTGTTTGCAACATTTCTATTTGCTTGTTTTTATTTTTTTGACTTTGGCTTTTTATTTTATTTTTTGTTTGGTCATCAGAACCAGTGACATTGAAGCATTTTACAGGACACCTGATGTTGAATTTCACAGCTTATCATTTAATCTGAAATAGATCATAGGAATCCTGTACACACAAATCAAACCACGGGTTCATGTGTCAGTAAATATGACCAGTATATTGAAATTAAAAGTTACACTTCACTCACCCCTCATAATATGAAGGAGCTTAGGTTCTCTGAGATGACAAATACTATTATGTAATACAAGAAAGAGTTATAGTGGAACCACGGTTCCGGATAATTTGACGTAAATACGTCTATGTGGTAAGGAGTTTATATAGTGGCTTTATACACGCTTTACAATTGATCAAAGTTTGAGTAAGACAGTACTGCCTACCTTGAATTGGTTACGCTTAAGATGGGTCTGTGGTAGCTGAAATATGTTATAAAATTTGTATGTTTTAGAGTATCAAACACCATATCTATACAAGATTTTGATCTAGTAGTACTACAATGAGGATTTGACATCAACATTAAGCCAAACGTTTCCTCCATAAATGTGACAAAGCTTTGATTTTCCTCCTTTGAATCAATGTTAAAATCTCCTGTCAATATTATCGGCATTGTATTATGATTTTCTGTGGCCATAACTGAAAACATCTTTGTATAATTTCTCAAATGACTCAAAATAAGTCTCTTACAATCATCAATAGGTTTGTGGTTACAAATATACAGTGTTACAATTAAAACTTTTTCACCATTGACCATACACTCTGGAGTTCATTATTTAATACTTATATTTTTTTACGTTTTCTGTTACAAGATAACACAACAATAGATTTCTTAAACGTTTTTACCAGCACAAAATTATCTAATCCACGACGCACTTCTTCTACAAGCGTTTCGCAGCTCAGCTCTTTCCACAATAACGAAAGCGGATTGTTGACGGCAGTAATGTAAGACAACAATGCACACAAGCTGACCATTGTTGTCAGTCCATATTTACAAATTGTTGATATATCCTAGGTAACCATGTTACACATATTTCTGTCACTTTTTCGTAACATTTTTTTGCGGAATGACCCTTCAATATAGACGTATTTACGTCAAGAATTGTGTGAAACATAGTTCAATTCTGACAATTCTGCCAAAACACTGGAAATACTACTTACATCCATACAGTGCCATAATCCAGAAACAGAATCCATATTTGTCTTTAATACATACGTAACTCTTACATGAAATGTAAATTATTTTTGCTTGTCTTCACAGTACAATACAACACAAACTTGACAAGATTTTAGGTTCTTACAGTGGTGCATATAAAGATGGCTGCCTTTGTGTTGTTGTGCTTTGTAGTCTGGTAGAAGTTTACTGACATTTCGGAGGGGCTTGCTGCCACCATCAAGAGGGAAATGATCCTCAGCCTGTAATCTTATCACATGGCACAACATCCTAGAAACTCATTTTCGTTCCAAACTTGTTTTTGTAGAGGATGGAGACAGCCATGTTTGGACCCACCACAGTGAAAACGTCAAATTCTAAATTGTTTTTATAGACTTTATGGATGTAAATCAATGTATTTGATACATCATTGCAATCTAGTATGCATGTACTGACCTGTACCATTGTGATGTCATTAAGTTGGGTCGTATTTATTTACTGCCGATTAAGATAAGAGGATTTCTTTTGTCAGCGAAATCAGTGGTGAACAATGTGTTACAGTGGGGTTCTAGTCTGGCTTGGGGGCTGATTTCATGAATACAAATAGCTAAAAGCAATAGATCTGTAATTAGAAATGCCTGTGTCAGGGAACTGATGGAAAGTCGGCATCAAGATTTTGCTGTAGGAAGTATGGATTCTCCATGTATACTACACACTTTCCTAAAGTAATCTGTGATTTGGCATTTTTTTTGACTATAAAGATATATGGAGGAAAAGAGGCACGACTCCACACACTTTTAATCACAAATCATGCCAACATCCTAACTTCTGCATTAGATGAAGGAGCCCCCTTTACCCCTGAAGAAATATCCCCGGCACCCATTACATACGACGGGTGAACCACAGAGCCGATCTCGCGCTGCGGCGAAGAGTAGAATTACGATGGAACAGAATGCCGATCGTGCAGCCAGGCCATTGTACCGACTGAGAAATCTCAGCTAAAATTGAAGAAACACGGGTAGCCCACCTACAGATGTGGGGAATGTCTAGGCCACTCAATTACCATGGTTTGAAGGTTGTGAAGGAAAAATGACATTCTGGTGAATTTCGCCACAACTGTCAAGATTTGCGTGCATTTAATTAACGTCAAGAGCCAAGAATAAGTCTGAATGGTATTTGGCGATATTCTTTATGTTAGACCAAATGCAGCATCGAGAGCAATTAGATAATTAGTTTTGATGTTTATTTATCAAGGTGTCAACGGAGGAGTACAGAAAATGCTAGAGAGAAATTAAATCGCGAAGGTATTTTAATTACAGAAATGCATTCCCACAATTTTTATGCTATTAATTACTTGGTGGTCTTTGAGGATATTTTGCTTTTATCAAATCAGAAATTTTGAAATCTCTCGAAGAGACAAGCTTCATTAGACTTTTTCGTCGTTCGATTTCGTATATACTACAGTAAATTTCTATCGTTTCCGGCATCATTAGCGTCAAACTTCTCCCGGTCAGCGCTCAGTTCTTCGGTATTTTATCGCTCGAGTCCTGAGAAATGGATGTAACCAAAACTCGATCCCACAACCACCCCCAAATCATGAGTGCAACTAACCTAACATTAACCTCATTCTCCGACATCCTGTTTTTGTACTCTTGTTACTGGACTTAAATGATGTGTTTTAATGTTTATTTGTAGTGTTCTGTCTGAGGACAGGTCCATATGAACAGGATCCTTCCATCCTTTTCTCGGACTGGGACCTGTTCATATACGTTCTTGGCAGATGATCCAGAAGTGGTTTGCCATTGCCTGCTTCTGTGTGTGAATGGAGTAATTGTTGGGATGCCACGGACGAAAACTCCGTG